AAGAGGGGAACAACTCCATAATAAAGGTCAAGGAGGGGTAACTCCATATTAATGGCCAAGGAAGGGCAACTACATATTAATGGATGGCCAGGAAGGGGGCGGGGGGTAACTGCATATTAATGGCCAAGGAAGGGGCAAATACATATTATTGGATGGTCCGGAAGAGGGGGGGTAACTGCATATTAATGGCCATGGAGTGCAACTCCATATTAATGGCCAAGAGTGGGGGCAACTCTTTATTAAAGGGGCAATTCCATGTTATTGGCCAAGAGGGAAGCAACTCCATATGAATGACCCAGGGGGGTGGGGAGTGGTGACTCCATATTATTGGCTGGGGGAGCAACTCCATATTGATGGCTAAGTGGGGGGACAATGCCATACTAATGGCCATGGGGCAACTCCATATTACTGGCCATGGTTTTGGAATGGGATGTCCATATAACTCATAAGGGAGTGGTGGTGTCCATAAAACTTTTGGCCCCCATAGTGTACCATGTAAAGTTAATATTTTGTTTCCTATTTCAATATTAAACATATAAGAAGCTAGTATGTGTTTTCCTGATGTGAGAGTTCATTGTTAGATCCGCGGTGCTGGAGAATTTTTGTACTTGAAATTAGTTGCTCCTCCCACCCGAACCCGAGACAGACTGATACCCCGCTGCTGTCCTCCCTCATCCCCTGTACCGCCTCAATCACGAGCAGCGCTCTCCCGAGAAGCCCCCCATGACGGGTCGCGCCTCTCGATGTCTCACTTTCCTCTGCGGTTCCAAAAGACACAAAACTTTTTTTTCTTCTTTTATTACAGTAAATAGTTTATTACAAAATCTGACTGTAAACAAATAGTAAAACCGTTTTGAAAACAATCAATGGAAGTGCAATACAGTTCCGAAAATTGCCGCAGCCCACGCGTCGGTACCGAGGCGTCGGCGCCGTCGTGATTCCCGCGACGCCGAACTGTTAGAAACAACAAAAATCAAACAAAAACAGGAAAAATAAAACGGCTGTACGGACCCGCGTACAAAAATGTTCAAGTTTTAAAACAAACGTAGATGAGAGCGTCTTCCTCCGAGGAGGAAGCAACCAATCAGACGCAGAGCATGTCCAGAGGCACAAAGTCGCTCGCGGGCGCCATCGACCATCGCAGAGCTCCAGAGTCTTTTCGTAACGCAACATTTCAAAGTCTTTTCTTATTA